AATACATTCCGAGGTAGGTTCCCTTGAGTGTCCTTTCGTTATGGACTAGTGCCCCGTATGTAGTGGCTCCCCTTGGTGGCCCCATATGTGTATTATTCCACTAGTCTCGCGTAGCCAGACCTTCAGACTGACGGCAGAAGGTCTGGGAACCTTGGCCGCTTTGAATGGCAAGGACCGCCTAAGAGGCTATATGACTGGCAGATAAATCAACCAATCACGTTTCGTTTTGTGCTGCGTCATGTTTAGGGGTGTGGAAATGTCCCCACAATAACAGACTGTGTAAAACTTGGACGTATTTTAAAGATTCTATGTGGCGAACTTTAAATATTTCACATACTTTTGAAAATCCAGCGTTTGATAAGCGCTCATCGCTTTCTTCAAACATGAAGGGGTTTGGCATCATGGCATATTTGTTTCCAGGCAGAAAGTTAAAAAATGCGACACGCACGTCTCCCGGAAATCCTGTATAATTCAACCAATCTGATGATGACTTCAAAACTCCCAAACTGTTTCCAATTTTATGTGCCGTATGCATCAGACTTTCAGCCAACAGTCCGTGGTCGTGACGTCTGAGGCTGAGACTATTATTCCACTGACTTGTCCCTTAGTATTCAGTGTCTCCCCTAGACAGACATTGATCTGTCATGAGGTTCTCTACTTAGGAGTTCTCCCCTTATGCGGAGCCCATAGAATCTTCCCTATGTGGTGCTTCCTCCTGTACGTCCATAAGTTGATCTTCACGTTTTAGTTCCCCTCCATAGTGTTCTTTCCGCCACCAGGGGAATGGATGCTTTCCCAGCGTTAACTACCAAGACTTTCAGACGTTACTTATTCTGTTTTCCTAACAAAATGAGGCTGAGGTGACCTCCAACTTCTTGGCGGCTCTCCCAGATGTTGGAGAGCGAGGTCATAAGTCTTGGGGGTTGGAAGGTTACGAGGAGGAGAGGTGCATTTGGTTGTGACACGCTGGCTTGTCAACATCTGCGAGTGAAAATAGCTGCACGGCGTAACTTATAAATTTATTAGGCAGTCTATTAGCGAAAGTGGTTTTCTCCCTGTAATCAGATCATGTACATAAAAGCAAATGTATGAAGTAAAAAATTATTATCATCCAAGTATTATCATCCAAAGTAAAGGTATTAAAACATACATATCTACTGAATCCTTATTAAACAACGTGTCATTATTTTTAAATTATCATTGTAATTTAAACAAACTAATTTATTACATACACTGAAAAATTCACAGTGAGCCACTGACATTTTACTCCTTATAACTATGATTGTTTTGACATTACTTTCACGGCTGACTACTTTAATATCTCTGATGCTGCAGCACAATGAATGCTGTGTGACCCATGTAATGCCATTCTTCCATGTTTAGAAAATCGCTGTTTGAGGTTTTATCATCCAACCCGGAAGGAAGGAGCTCTTCAGAAAATCTGTAAGAATGATGTCTGTCAGTGTGCCGAAGGTAGTATATTTAATTGTAAAAGTAATTCTAAAAAACTGCAAAGAAGACATACAAAGATATATTGTTAATCAACAGCAGGTTAATTTCTCTCTCCGTTGCTGAAACAGAAAACTGCAGTCTTCAAAAGAAGGAGAAAATTCTTGAGGCTCACCGTAATAAGAAAGCCTGTGAACCTAAAATAAATTACGGTAATTGATTACATGTGTGTGAATGTTTTGGTGCAATGAGTGAGAATGTTTTCTTTTTTTTTTCTATATAATTATTAGTTAACGTGGCAATCAGTAAGATACTACATCAATCTAATCCTTTTTTACAGTTTATAAAGCTTTAGTTTTGAGAGAACATGAGGATGCCTTAACGGTCAATTACGATATGAGGATTGAACTTGCCCTCAAAACAGGTATATCTCCTCACTCCAACCACAGTATGTAAACAATTGTAAATTCTGTCCATTTAATGTTCTGCTTATTTCAGCAGTAAGATGTAAAGTGATTTACAGATGTTCTGCTGATAACTTGTATAAGTTTAATCCATACAAAAACAAGCTAATCACGTCTGCTCTTAATGGTCTTATCAGACACTTGTGATTTTGTTTTGTTATGTTGTATCAGTACTAACTCAGTGCCTCAGAGGAAGGGAGAGAAATTCAAACATGTCACATGTCATACATAAATTTGTGTAGGTCCAGAAATCGATGTGGAGGGGAAGCAGCGTACTTTCTCCTTACAGATCTCTTGCAAAGAAGCTTTGGATCTGAAGCGAGGTGAGAGCTATCTGGTCATGGGCCAGGCTGATGATGTCCAACTAGAGGGCAGAATGTAAGTGCATTTGACCTGGGATCCAAAGTGTGTATGTCCTGATATGAGAATGTGCATCTGTATTGATAAGAGAGCTTGAAATATGAAACACTTTTTGAATAGTCAAATGTATACAAACCGTCTCTTTTAAATACAGTTATATTTACTGCTTACATGCTGGTATGGTGTAGGATTAACTTTGAAACATTTTTTTCACAGATAAATTGCTAGAAATAATTACAAAGACATTGAATCAAACACATTTTTAAAGTAAAAAGACTGAAGTAGTATTTTCTTGTAAAACATACTCTATTAACCTTTTTATTTACAACTTTGAATCATTCTTTACAGTGCTGTAAAGCAGATAACACTGACTTTTGCAAATATGCCTCGTTCTATAATAAACCACTTTTGCCTGTTTACACTTTAGTTTGTCATGTAAGCCCCTCTGTGACATGCACTTCCTCTGATGTCTCCTCAGCGGTCAGTATGCTCTGGGCGAGAGGACGTGGTTGGAGTTTTGGCCCAGCTTGGAGCAGAGCAAGACTAGCACTGAACTCAGAGAAAAATACAACGGCATGTTGAGTCTCCAGCAGGATCTGCGCTTCGGCTGCAGCTAATTAGTCAGATGCCAGACTATTGCTTTGCGATGCTCATTGACAAAATGAAATGTTATAAAACAGAAAAATCAGTGTCGCTTCATTTACAACTTTAAATGTATGTTAAACATGAGTTATGAGTTAATTTTGACTGTTGCTTTTTTAGTAATTGTCCTGTTACTCAGCGATTAATCAATGTATACCTAAGCATGACTTGTTTACACACCACCATTCCAAAAGCAGTGTTGTGACACACACATGTCTAAGCAAATATCCATAATAAATATGGTCAAGCAAGATCATCTGTTCTGATCATCCCCTTATTCACTATCCAAAACAACAAACTTTTAGAAGGTACTGATTTCTTACTGATGCGGAAATGCAATTTTTGAACTCAGATTATAATTGATTAAATACTTTTTACTTCAGAGTAACCTTGTTGTGCAAGTTCAATTTTTCCAACAATTCAAGTTCAGCAGGATGTAAAATTAAAATCAAATAAATGTAAGCAAAATAGCATCCTTCTTTTTGGAGAGAAATGTGCATTTGAGTATAGCGCAGCACATCAGACTGTAGTTCATCACCTCATAGTGACACTGAGCACAAATAATACTGGTATAGAAAGGTCAGAATGGACTTTGTGGAATGAGTGCACATGCAGTAAGTCCATTTTTAATGCTCTTTTTTTGCAGTTTTTCTGCAAAATAAAGGTGGGGAAATTCTATTAGGCGAACATGTTTGACATCAGTCACATTTTTGTACAGTTCATCAAAGTTTGCATTCTTGACAGTCAGCAGTATGTAAATTCTAAGGGAGGTTGTCTATATTTATGCCTGCACTCATCCTCCAAAGATCCACAGGTAAAACACTTTATTTGTTGGTTTTGTGGGGGGGTTTTTTTTACTCTCCCTTTTTGTTTAAAAAATGAGCAGTGAGACTATCACAGCTGAAGACGCACCTGTTCTGCAACCAACTTGAACTGCAAATACCATTGAGGGCACTTCTTATGAAAATGCTGCTGTAAAAATGTTTCTTTCACTTTTCTGCACTTTCACTTCTGTACTTTTAGCATACTCTTGAAACATTGCGGTACTGCGAGTACTGTTGGCCCTTGCATAATATTGCATTTGATGTTTCTCATTTTTAGCTGCTTTCTGCTAAATGAATAAATGTAAATGCAATTATCCCTATTGCTTAGATGCTGAATAAAACTTTGGTTCTGTTTTAATTCAAATAAGGGGTCCTAAAAACTGAAACATTAACTGAATCTGACACGTGTTGTTCAGGTTTTGGGTTGATGGTGAGCCAAATGATGATAATGGAATGGAAGACTGCACTGACCTGAACTGAGGCCTGCAAAATCTGTCTTGAACAACTGGAATGATCTGTCATGCTCACTGAATAGAAAAGGGGTTTGTGAAAGTTCCACCCCTAAATTTTGTGATATTTCATGATGTGTTCACTTTTATGTTACAGACAATAATAAAACATTAATAAAACAATAATAAAACAATAATAAAACATATTTTTATGCAATCGTGCCATGTCACTGCCAGCTGATTTCATAAATCTCCATCATGATATCCATTTTGTTTTATTATTGTCTGTAATGTACAAAATGTGGATGTACAGATGAAATTTGTTAGAAGGTAACTGTAAACTAACAACTAATAAACTCACAATACACAGTTTTTCATATAGTGAATAAGTATCAGCTATTATATGTATTCATATACTATCTTAGTAAATAAATGGCAGAACACTGAGCTCTACATATACACAGAGTAAATGCCTGTGTGAATATCCTGTTGCCACCCATTTGTGTAAACATGTAAACTGAAACATGAAGGCATCTTTTGAAGGCATTTTTCCTACAATCATCCTCTCTGTCCCAGCTTAAAAACATAATTTATTCCCTTCCAGTTTATTGCCATCTATACAAAGGTCCAGTAAGGCCTGTTTAAGGGTGTTTGAGTCTGTATGCAGAGAGTTTCAAAGTACTCTGTGTCTAAACTAATGAAGCCACTTCCTGTTTAGGGTTAGTCCTATATTTAAAATACAAATGAATATGTGCCTATCATTCAACCACAACTCATCTGTGAACACATGCTGTCAGACATAAGAGCGAACAATGGAATTAGAAGACATTTATGAAAATATTGAAAATGAAGATATGAAGGACACGTGTGCACCTCAAATACAGAGTCGCTGCGAGGATGAAGGAAAAGCTCGAAAGCAAAGTAAGCAGAAAGTTTCATTTGAAGCAGAAATGGAAATGAGGAATGATAAATATATAGTCATTTCAATCTTCTTTAAAAAAAAAGAAACAGTAAGTGTTTCTGCTTATTTTAACTTTTCAGCATATGTTCTTATTTGCCTACATGTATTGTTGAAATGTCGCCGTCATTATCAAAGAATATACATTTTTGTGGAATTGTATATTATGCAAAGACAGAGGTGGATTTGAGCCTTTATATATACATGTGTATCTCAATAAATTAGAATGTCGTGGAAAAGTTCATTTATTTCAGCAATTCAACTCAAATTAAATAAACTTAATAAATTAAATACACACAGACTGAAGTAGTTTAAGTCTTTGGTTCTTTTAATTGTGATGATTTTGGCTCACACAACGTCAGAGGCGTCTTACCTGGGCTAAGGAGAAGAAGAACTGGACTGTTGCCCAGTGGTCCAAAGTCCTCTTTTCAGATGAGAGCTACAATTCACTAAAAATGTTTTTTTTGTTGGTCTTATGAAGTATTCTAATTTGTTGAGATAGTGAATTGGTGGGTTTTTGTTAAATGTGAGCCAAAATCATCACAATTAAAAGAACCAAAGACTTAAACTACTTCAGTCTGTGTGCACTGAATTTATTTAGTACACGAGTTTCACAATTTGAGTTGAATTACTGAAATAAATTAACTTTTCTACGGCATTCTAATTTATTGAGATGCACCTGTATATATTCTGTATTTATTTATATATATTCAGTGAATTGTCATTAATTGATATTTGTGTGTTTTGGTGGTGTTTGTCAGGAGGAAGTAGATGTTTGGTGTGGATCACAGTGGGTCTCGGGCTCATTTGTGTTCTTCTGCTGGTCTTCATCATACTGCAGCACATCACCATCACAGCAGAGAGAGACCTGATAAAGAGTTACAAGAACACAGTTGAAGAGTTCAATCAAACCATCAACAGCTTACAGGACAGTTACACTGATCTGATGACTGAAAGACACCAACTGCAGATCAACTTCAGCTCTTTGAGTCAGAAGAACCTGGAGTTAGAGACTGAACTAAGAAATGTATCTGGACGAGGTTTGTACAAATCAATCTATATGTAAAGTTTCACTTTACAACACAACACAATCAATAAAATTTGTATTTGTTTGTTGTATTTGTTCGTTGAAAGGAAATGGCATGCTTTTCATGTCCACTGAGTTGAAGAACTGGTCTGACAGCAGACAGTACTGCAGGGATCGTGGTGCTGATCTGGTCATTATCAACACTGAAGAGAAGCAGGTGAGTTCAGTGGCAAATGCAACTAGTTCAAGACCATTATTTTGTGAATTAACATATACTGTATTTCAAAACACATAAAACAAGTAATAATAATAATAATAAAACGTCACCAAAGTCTCATATTTAATCTTTATAAAACTGCTTGAAAGTCAGTGCCCACAATAATATATATAT